TAATTGCTTTTTCTTCTGTGAAACTACTCCTACTTCATGCTCTTCCTAGATCAGAATCTGTCCCTGTGTGACAAAGGGGTTTGTTTTGAGATATTTTTAACTTGCAGTAAAAAAAATTAAATTGATGCCATTTTTTGTTTTCTAGCTGTGCCTGTAAAATTAGAAGAACCCTACTGATTCACAGTGCAGTGATGCAGAGCAGCATTTGTATTCTGAGGAGGGGGAAGCGAAACAGTCACATATTCAAAGGAAAACATATTTAATGAATCCACTTACATTAATTTGCCACCAATAGATATCCTTAGTAACAAAACGGATTGTTACTCATGTGAAGATGAATGACTAAACCCAGCAAAATGCATGTTTTGTGCAGTAAGCATCAAGGGAGATAATGCCATGCAGATCTCTATGATTTATGGTGCTCCATTTTATCCTCTTCTAAGCTTGTACCTGATAAGGAAGGAAAGATCCAAGAGATGGCGAAGACCTCCTTCTGTTTGATCTGCCCAATTTTTTGGTATTGTTTGAAAGAGGATTTCTCAGGCAGATGTTATTTATTTTTCAATCATGTCATGCTTAAAATACACAAGAAATATTCAATGAAGACCAGCAATGAAAAGAAAAAAGACTACAGAACACACTTGAATATGCAACTAATTATTTTTAACTGCTTTTCCAAAAGGACTGTGCTTTTAATAATAGTCTGCTTTTGTAAAGCATCTCTCAGATGCAGACTTCAAAATGTGGTAGGCAAATTGTCTCAACATGTCTATGGGCTAGGTAAGTACTATTAATCCCTTTTTACAGAGGGAGAAAGCTGAACATCAGAGAGCCAAGAATACTGTTTTCCAGCTTTGGTGTTACAAAAGGACTGTCAGAGCTCAGAGTATTGTGTTAAATTCCACGCTCTAAGTCCGATATAGCCTTTTGTCTTTCAGCAGAAGGGTCTGTTATAACTCCATCTTTTCCAGTCACAGGTTATTAAACAGACTAAGGCAGGGGTGGGTGTGAGAAATGGTTGGTCATTCCTGAAATGTACAACATGTATCTGAAGTTAACTGAAAATTCCCAAGTTAAACATTTCATAAATATGCCAGAGTGGATATAGTCCTTCCTAAGTTCCTCAGTCTGAAACTGTTTAACCCACCACCATGTTTCTTGTGTTCACAGAGTTAGTACTGGCTTTTTATATATTACAGGCATGCTAGGTATGGACTACTGGGTGCATCTAGTCAGCAACCTTATTTCATCCCATTCCTCCAGCAGATACATAAAAAATGCAAGAGACTAACACAAAAATTAGGTTCACGATGAAAAGAGAAAAGAGAAACTTAAAAACACAGAAAATCTATGAAGTCTAAAGGCAATTTTCAGTCCTCAGAACAAGTGTTCTTCCTGCTGGAAGGGGATATATTTTGAGGTAGACTTGCTTAATAGGATGGAGATATACCTTGATGAATGTTTCTTAGATCCTTTCTTGCTCAAAAATGACAAAACCTGTTATTCTGGACACCTTGGGCTCCAGTGAGGATGTGCACAGACAGATTTACCGTGGACTGTGGCATCTTCTGTGGCAGCAATAGCTATCTACAGCTTTGAGTTGCATTGTGTGTAAATCTGGCCAGACTGAGAGATCTCTCCTTCTCTTCTGTCCCAAAGGTACATGTTGCTGTTGAGTGCTCTGTTCATGCCTATCAGGATAAAGCCAGCCCATTTTTCACAGTCTTTATGAGAGTTGCCTAATGGCAATGGCATTCAGCAAGAATGGCTGCCCTCGGAGCTGCAGACTCACTCACCGGTGGCAGCAGCCATACATAATGGGAGCCTGGAGGCTGCCCTGGCACAGAGACAGTCGTGCTTTTTCCTTTTTGCCAAGAGCACCTCTAAAACAACAGCTGATGGAGGTGCAACAAATGCATTGGCAACTGCATCAGCAGGAGCAGGCAGCCACCCTTGCAAGGCACTGGATCATGCTTGGTGCTGCCTCCAGGGTACTGCCAGGTGCTCTGGAGCAGGCAGAGTGAATGGGAAACATCCCTGGCCTTTGCAACAAGAGTATTGTACCTAGTGGTAATATTAAATCTCACCTGAGCAGGAGGCAGTGTGTTCTCAGGCTTGTCTGGAGCCATGGAAAAACATTCCTGTAGGACCTCAGCCCTTTCTTGGTCTGCTCCACTACTTGTATACAAAGGTGTGCCTTAGCCCTGCCCACGCTAACACAAACCACACCACACAGCAAGGTTGTTCATGTAATCATTGTTCCACATACAGCCAGTCCAGGGATAAGGTGCTTACCCATGTGGGATGGTACCAAACACTGCGTGTGGTTTGCATAAGCTGTAAGGATGTGAGTGGAACTAACAAATGACACGTCATTTAACAAACTAACAAATGACACGTCATTTAACAAACTAACAAATGACACGTCATTTAAAGCACAGGGTAAATTGTATGATGAGGAAAGGGGATGGAAATGTCAGCAGCCTGTGAGACCCAGTCTCAGAGCTGACAGAAAAGGGAGAAATCACAGCATGTCTTACACTGAGATTGTCCTCCAGGTTTCAAAGCTTTTAAAAAAGCCAGGTGTTGCAGGTGATAGCAGTGGAAATTTCTGAAGTAATCTGATTTTGGAAATAGACCTTGAGAATATTCGAAAAGCCCATGAGTTGTCTGTTCGGTGTACTTTTGGACACCCACAATCTCCCACTGAGGATCTTAGTGAAGTTTGCAGAACCCAGAGGAGCTGGATGCAGGAGAGAATGCAGAGCTGGCTACAGAAGAACTCACACTGGGATATGTTCTTCCTCTGGCTGATGGGGTGGATGGTGGGACCTTCTAATCCTGACCCATGAGGATGTGTGAGCTTTAGCATACCCCAGCTGAAAGAAAAAGAGAGCAGGATGACAAGCATCCATTAAAAACTTAAGCATTGGTAAAGATAGAGAAGGTAGTAAAAATATTGCCTGGTACAGGAGTAGATGAAGATGAAGAATAGGTACTTTACGTATCCAAGATTTTTAAGGTAAAAGTAAAAAATAAACAGAAAAAGTGGAAGTAGTCCCCAGAGCTGCCAATGAAAGAAACCCAAGATATCTGTTCATGTGTTATGTGGACTGGTCTTTCCACTTTCCCACCAATACCACAAGCCCATGTGCAGCTGTGGGAAAGAAATAGTTGAGGATGACAGTGTCTTTAACACCTTCAACAATTATGCTGCAGTGAGGGGCACAGTGAGGGAAAAAGAAAAGACCCCCTTCTCTCCCCCATCTGTTTTTCTCATTCCTCATTTAATGTACGCAAATGACAAGCTGGGAATAGTCACTCTCTGGAGTCAGGTTTTACTTTCAAGATAGTTAGCAGATCTTAGGCCTTGTACAGAATTGGCTATATTGATAATTATTGTGATAATCATCTCAACAGAAGAGTGAAGTGTAGGCAACAGGACATGGTAGTTTTGAGTGTTTGTCCCCAATACTGTGCACCTGAAAAGGCAACTCAACAAGTTGCAAGTTAATGGGAGGAGTTGCCTTGTCTTCAGGGGTCACCAACGGAGCTCTTAAGAAGGCAAAGAAAAATTGATTGTGTCATCTCTTTCATGACTAGTTTAGGTCTCTCTAACACTTTTTAGGAGCTGTGTAGTTCCTTCCAAAGTATCCTAATGCAAAAGCACTAGAAATATGAAGGTGAGCCATGAGCTCGTTAATCCTGCCAAAAGAAAATATAAGAATTAGCGAACTCTATGATGAGCAGACGCAGCCAAACCAAATGCCGCCTCTGTGGAATTAGGTGTGCTGCAAACACCACGAGCCTGTGATATCATGACCTTTAAAAAACGTATGTCTCAAAAATGGAAAAATGAACTGAAGAAACTGCTGGGGAAGCTTTCAAGAAGCTGGACTGCTCATTTATACATTAGCATTGCCAGCTGAGCCAGGAGGCAGAGCTGACGGAGTTCCATGATTTCCTTTTTATATAAACCTACACCAAAGCCGGTAGCCTTAGGGAATGCCTGCTGTAGGACATGATCTTTCTGGTGCTTGTCAAATTTTTTTTTTTGCAGTATTACAATTGCCTTCGGTGCCAGCCCTGACCATCAGCAGTGGGTCCAGTCACAGCATTGGTATTTGCCACTGCAGGGTGTGGGACCCCATGGAAAAGCCCAACCAGGGAAACAGAGCTGTGCTGGTGAAAATGGACAGAAGGAAGGGAGACCAGACCAGCGGCCTTTGCAGCGGAGAGAGTTGTCTTAAGCAGGCATGTCTCACCAAAGTAGGTGGGCAAGAGGAATGAGGCAAAGTGCAGGTAACAGCTTGTGGTGAAGGGAGAAATAAGCAGTGTGGCAATATGCAATATTCAGTGTGTGGATTCAGCCTGTCTGCCTACAGGGCCCAGGGCTTTTCTTGCAGGAGCAGGGATCAGGAGCACAGCGGCTGCAATGTTGCTCTGACAAGCCATGATAAATGCCAGCTTTGTTAGTGTGTGTGGCAAGTTACCAGGAGCTCAGCAAATTCCTGTGCTTGGAGAGCCTCGCTCTGGGAAGAAAAAATGAGCTGTGAAGTAATAATGATAATAACAGGATTCAATGAGGCAGATGTAATCCACATTTCTTAGCTGATCCTGGCTTGCAGCACCAACTCTGCTTGACAAAATTGTATTCACAGGGATCTTTTCACAAGTTTGTTTCAACATTTGAGCTATGGTGTGGCTCAGACTGGTCTAGAGCTGAAATCCAGCAGTTTTTTTCTTGGAAGTCATATTTGCAGAGTACTTAAGTGAGGCAAATACCTTGAAACAATTGTCCACAAGAATTACTAGTCTGGGGAGAGGTTTCCCACTCATTTATAGCACTGCTGATAACATTTTTGCTCTTATAGTTTACTGTCAAAAAGCCTTGGTTGTGCTGAGCTTCATGCAAATATGTATTTGTAGCAAGCCCATAGGAGCCAGAGAATAGCAAATATTGACACTCTTCTGTGTCAACAGAAAAGAAAGTGCAAAACTGGCTGTAGTTAGATCAAATTTCACTTTCAAAATTAACATTTGGTATATTCTTTCTCTTTCAGTGCAACTAGATGTGTTGATGCTAAGAGGCCAAAATCTTTTCTGCTGCAGCTTGCCTCTGTGTAAGACTGTTGATGAGTCAAATTCTCTGGGATGCTCAGGATCCAGACAGGCATCACATGTTTTGCTTCTGACCCACAATGACGTCTCCCTGGCCATCTCCTGCAACTTAGTTGGGGCACACTCCTGTACCCTTTGGATACTCTGGAAAATACCCTGCAGGGCTTGGGCACTTGTGAAGGCTTTCAGATCCACTGCACTTCATTACACCTTTTGAACAAGAAATGTCTGCTATCTATGGTGAAATCACCGTAGTTATTTTGGTAAGACTAAAATAAAACACAAGCAGAAGTGTTTATTTACAGCACGCACGGTAGGAAAAACAGTCACAGTTATTCATGTGAGTCTTAAATGGAAAAAAATAGTACACATGCTTGAACCTTTGAGAATTCATCTTAATGTGCTGCCAGGCTGGTGCTTTCCTAATGCATCCCTTGCTGGAGGCTTTGCATCCCTTCCACAGGTCACCAGCAATTTGACATTAACTATCACCACAAGGAACAATCCTACCCCCTTCCTGCCCTTCTACCTCCTCCATGGTGGCCTTGGACATGCTGGTGGGGTTGTGTATTGGTGGGGGTTAGCCAACCTGTCTATGCTCAGATTTGTTGTTGTTGTGAGTTTATCTTTCCCTGGATTGCTACTTTGACCTTGTGGACTGTGAAGCTGCAGGATTACTTGGGGCAATACCAACAAAAGACAAGTGAGGGGCAGGAATGAGAGGTATCCGCAGGGCTGGGGAGGGCACTACTGACACATCCTGGTTTAAGGTCTCTGAAATTGTGGTCTCACTGTGTCTGTCTCTACCTGAAGCATCTCCATGATTGGAGCCAAATAGGAGGCTTGCTCAGGCTCACAGCAAATTAGCAGACACACACAGGTCTGCTCAGTTTCCCCAGAACAGGCAGGCTGGGCAGCCGGTGGGGTGAGGGCTGTATATAAGGCAATATGAGTTGGAGGTCTGAACTGGGAATAACATGTCAAACAACTGCACTTATATGTGCAAGGAGGAAATACATCTTGGTCACATACGTGTTGTTGAGGCTTTGGAAAATAAATGTGAAACATGCAGAGCATGTGAAACAGAAGAAGAGGCTTCAAGAGAACCAATTTCACCTGAAAATATATTGCCTGGCAGCCCAAGACTCAAGTCAATTCAGTGGTATGAGGATGCTGCTGTATGAAAGAAATACTTGAAATACTTAAAAAAAAAAAAGGAATTTACTCAAAATGCTACTGAAGTGATAATCCATGTTGCTGTAACAGAGAAAACTGAGATCTGAATATTTTTTTAAAAAAACCCAAACCTTACTTTTTTTCTTTCTTTGCAAAGGTTCAGCTAATGAGTGACTAAGCCTTTTATAAGAAAAGTCTGATTAGGGCATAATAAATATGATTCACTATAAGTAATTTTCAGATTTTCCTTGGGACTCTTCCTTACAGGATCTCTGTATTGGGAAAAAGAAAGGGATAGGGAAAGACTTGCATCAAAATTCTTATAACTATGAATACAGATGAGATTATGCAACTGCAAGGAAATGTCATTTGTCTCCCTTTTCGTAAACAGGTGGCAAGAGCACTTACAAGGCAGTCTTCACAGGAGAAGCAAAGTGTAAGACTATGGTAAAAAACCCTCCAGAAACACTGTAAATGTGAGATCTGAAGATAACAGAACTAGGTTTCTAGTTCTAGAGAACTAGAAACTCACTAGACAGTGAGTTTCATTGCTTCAGCCTTTTGGAAAAGGACCAACTCTGCAGCTGCTCAGTGTATGATGCACACAGGGATCAGGCATGTTGGGGGATGTTATTCTCAAGGTGAGCAGACCTTTGCCAGGTAACCTTTGCACTCTGCTGGAATAGCCACCTGTGTCTGAAAGCTGGGTAGTAAAACTAGTGCTCCCAACCCAGGCATATCTTATAAGACCAGGACAGATACTGAATTTATATTGCTCTTGAAGCTTGTTTATCTGTCTAAAAGGTTTTGTGGATGGCAGCCCCCTTGTTTCTTTTATTCTACTGCTCTCTCAATTTTTCTTTCTCTTCCAGGCCCTACATTTAGGATTTGAAATATCTCTTTGTATTGGAAATTAATTTTAAACAAATTGATTGGGCCACAGCTGAGCCATTCTCTGAAGTTTGCAGGTAAAGCATAAAATGCCACCCAAAAAAAAAAACCAAGAAAAGAAAGAGTCTCTCCTGACTGTCCAGCTGACACAAATCTCTTCTTCTTGAATCAGGTGAATCCCATTTATTTTAACATGAAATATATTTAATGAATAAATAGGTGTTACTTTTATGTCTCAAAGTTGTTGCCAAATTTTACTTGTTTTCTACTAAAAATCACAGTCTCCTAGGGCCAAGAGGCTGCTGCTTTTGTCTTTTCCCACCTCAAATATTAAAAATTATAGTCTTGTTTTTCCGGGAGAGCCAACTACACCCATACTGAGCACTTCTCAGGATCAGTCCTTCTGGGACTCTGCACAAGTCACCTCAAATTAAAATTCCTTGTCACAAAACAGCTCCAGAAAGGTGGCAACAAATCCATCCATTATGAAGATAAATACCTGGCAACAAAATTGGAGAGTAGAGGCCAGCAGTCAAATGGGAAGCGCAGTTCAGAGGATCCTGGAGCAGACTCACCGTTCATTTTCACTTGCTTTCTAGCTCTGAAGAGCAAATGAAAATGTAACTGGTAAAACGAAGTTCCTGGAGAGAAGCTCAAAAACCAGATGGCTGATGCCACCCAGGCACCAGCTGTGAGAAGGTTATAAACTCTGCTTTTAAAAAGAAATAGGCAGTGCCAAGCTGCTATTGCTGCACTTGGGTGTTTTGTGTCTGCTGAATTCAGCTGGTTTTACAGGCCACACACATTCCAGGGTCTGCACAGTCCCTGGTGGGAGTATCCTCCTCCTGATAGACATCAGACTATGTAGCAGGTACTAAAAGAAATGTTATTTTGGTAGGAGTGAAACCTTTGTCAAGCAATACCAAGGAGCAGCCACGTCATTTGGGCTCTGGTTACGTTTTCCCTGGAAGCAAGAGCTCACAACACTTGGAGAGAATCCACAGCTGTCTTTGCAAGGTGAGAGATTGTTTTATTCAAATTTTGCCTAATTTTAAACAACTGCAGTTGCTGCCTTTTTTTATATAGACAAACTGTATTAACCATAGGGGACATCCAGCCATTTGGATGTTAGTTAATGGAGGCAAGGAGCTTGAAAAGGGAGGACTGGGAGCAGGCAGGAGCTGTTTTTGAAGAAGTGTCTGGCTGTGTCCTGAGAAGGTGCATGGGGAGGGAGAGAGGGAAAATGAGCCATGTTGGCTGTGGCACAGGGAAGAGGAGACAGCAGAAGCTGAGAGCACGGTGCAGGTAGGCTGGACCACGAACGACTGCGATTTCAACATATGAACTTTTCAAAGGCTGCCTTGCTCAGAAGCAGCATCTTATCTCTGGATGTCAGGCATCAAGAACATATGAAAGAGCCAGGCATTCAGGTCCCTCTCAACTAATACAGGGTTTTGAATAGCCTTTAGCTCACAACAGACATAATTGTCTATTCCTGATGCTACTGAGCTATAAGGGGATTGTGTTTTAATGCTGGATGTCCTATTTTTTGGACCTGCACCTCCAGGTGACTTAGTTTGGAGACACAGCCACACTCCCAGTGCCAGCTGTACACTGCTGTGCCAAGGCTGTTGGATCCTGTGGTTGCATTCAGAGTGTTGTGTGTAAGTACCTGGTGAAACAACTGGTGATGTAGGGAGTGAATGCAACAGCTAAGCATGATCCTATTCAAATGCAAGTGAACAGGTCTATCTCTTGTATCAAGCACAGCTTAGCAGTAGGAAACCAGATCTCTTCAAGTTCCTGGATTTGTTAATGTTAGGTTGCTATAAGACTATTCGTTCTACAAAGGGTCCAAAGACACAGGACAGACTCTGAAAGCAGAGCAGCTGAGATGAGTGAGATTGTGAGGTTCTTGTGCTACTGCTGCTGTTGTCACAGAAAAGGCAAATCAGCTGCTTGAAAGGATACATTTCTGTCCCCCTGGCCGTATCATATGGAGCCTGAAAAAAGTGAGTTTTTGAAGAATTACGTATCATATAGAGTAGAACTTGCCCTGTTGTTTTCTTTGTGATTCCCTAAATGAAATAATTAAGTGTTTTTGAAAGAAAACTTTGCCTTTCTATTTTGACCCAGTGCCCTTAAGCATAGAGATTCATGCCCCCTGTCCCACAACTGTTTGTTTCGGTATTTTTTGAAGAAAAGCTTTTAACTTTTGTTTTGCATTTTGCAGTTTAAGCTCTTTCATTTAATTTGAATTAAAGTTTTCAGACTGACCTGAAATAATATCTGGTTTTTCTTTTTGAATTGTTTAGAAAAAATATTTTTTTTTCAGCTCCCCTTTGCCTTTGGTTGGAAACTTAAAGCTCTCGGTGTTTGCCAGCTTTAAGTGAAAATTCCTTAGCCACTGGGTATGACCTGTAACTGGCTTTGAGCATTATAATCCTACTGAAGTCAAAGGAATCAGTTCGATTTATACCAGATGGTTATCTGGACCTCTAAGGGAAATGAAATCACTATCATGAATTAAATTCACCATCAGTACAAGAAAACCTGTTTGCATTTGTAAGATTATATCTGTGCTTCCTTATACTTAAGTTTTGTTCAAGTTCCACTACCAGTGTTGTCACCTTCATGCTACAGGCTGTAGTTCAAACCAATAATAGAAGCCCGGGAGGTTTTTGGTGGAGCAATACTTCAGCATTTGGGCCCAAAATTTGCACCAGTGTTCATGTGACCCTGGATTTTAAGTAGTTTGCTATCATCTGTTCATTTTGAGTGTTCATGTCAGAAATGAGTATGAAGATAAAAATGAAACAAAATGAATGGGAAGATACTTGTTTTGATTGATTATTTTTTGAAGGATGGATGCAATAGTAAAAAAAATAATTAGGTTTTGCCAAAGGAAGTTTATACAACATGAATGCTTTGTTTTGCTACCAAAATGATCACTGATAGGAACAAACTGGTGCAGAAAGACTTCCTGAGCTATTGCATTTGCATAGGCGAGGAAAATGTTGCAGCTTGGAAAATGAAACATGCGATTTATGAGCACAAAGGACTTAAAGTCAATATTTTGTTCTCCTCAGTTATTCAATAATGACTTTGACAGTTCCTCTGTCAGATACAGGGTTTTGGGCTGGCAGGATGCAATGTCCTAGCCGATTTCCAAAGCTGTCACTGATCTTTGATTTATGTTGTCCATATTTTCCTCTTTGGGCTAGTTAGTACCATCAAGCTCTTGCCTGCCTTGGCTCAGTATGCAGCAGCCTGTCTCTGGGGTAGTTCCAGGTTGGCTCGTCCTACGTCATCTCGAAGAGGTTGCAGCTCTCCTTCTGTCTTATCCTGTTATGAATGAGTTTTAAAATCTGAAAGGACATTAGAATTGTGCCTGGACCTTGTGCTCGGGCATGTGTTGAGCTCCATGCACTCTTCCTAAACTTCCTTTGAATCTTTGTTTGTAGCAGATGAGGCACCACATTTGTGTCACTTGCCACTGGTACTCGTGAGAATGGTTCTTGCCTTTTTGAGTAGCATGAGCCTTTCTTTCATTGTAGCATTTTGCCCTTTTCCTGAATCTTTGTTAGTTGTCTATGTGCTTGAAATGATTTAAAATGACAAGCACAGTGGAAACTGTCTAGGATGTATAAATTGCTGTGAATTATTTCAAATTAGAGAAGAAAGTGAAGAATGAGGACTCTTGGCTGTAGTACCAGCATGATCTACATATGTCTGTCTGAATTTCTTGGACAACCCCCTTCATAAAAACTAAGTCCTGTACTGCACCAAGGCTTCCTTATTACTTCACCTCCAAGGAGCACAGTATCACATGGAAGCATCCTGGTGGTTTTGGGCATCCATGGAACAGGTGTAAATCAAACTTGCCTGTCTTCCAGGTAGATCGTCATGCAAGAAGAACTAACTGTGGCATAGTTATAGCACACAGCTATACAGCTGACATAGAAAAGTGGGTGAATAGTTTTGGGGAGGATTTAATTTGAGCATTTTGGATCTGAGTTCGTTAAAATCAATGACAGCTTTTTGAAGCACACAGCAAAAGACAGAAGGATTTGGGGGACTTGCTGATGTTACTAGAGTGCTGTGATTTCCTTAATTCTAGGGAATGACAGAACCAGCTGGCATAAATATTGTTCTCATACAAGTTTTTTTCTGGTTTTTTTTTTCTCCTCCCCTCCATATTTCCTCATTTCTCTATACCACCCATTTACATTGTGAAAATTGAGTAATGAGACTTTGTCAAGGCAGAGAGTGGAAGGCAGTTCTACAGGATTTAGGATTATTTAGCATTAAGCTGTTATCAGGATGTGTTTTTTAAAAAAAAATGTTTTCCTAACAAGCTTGGTACATAGAGAATTTCTGGCTGAATCTGTAAATTCCCACAGGGAAATGTTGATCCTTTATCTAATGTTTGTTTTATCTGCTCCCTGCTGGAGCATATTGGTGGTACATAAGTAGATTGCTGTCATATGGCCCCAGACAGTTGCTTCAGAAAGGAGTTCTACAGATCCTTGACAGGGAAATTGTATTTATTTTTTTCTAATAACATGTATAGTCCTTGTAATTTGTTTGAGAGAGATTGCTTTATCTATAAAGCCACTGACACAGGTACTGCTTTTTTACTAGACAAATTTTTCAACTATATTAACAGTACCAAGGGAGCCAAATTTTCTCATATTCACACTCCTCTCTTAAGTAAAGTACTTGCTAAGATAAAGGAAATACTGATGTGAATCTAGAATAACTGGAGAATTGTTTCATAGTAACACAGATTTTGAGAACTGGACACTAGAAATACAATATTACTATGCCTGTTTCTTCACCTAGCTTAAAAGCCATCAAGAAGACTAAGATGGGAGAACTCTGCTTCCAGTGGGATGGGAAGCAGAAGTTTTCCTGTAGGTGTGGGTGACTCTGGGTCTGTAGCACTAGCACAGATATTGGATGAAAGTGAACTTTAGTCAGGGTTGTAAATACTCTCATAATTCCCACAGCCCAAATGGGGTCATGACACTGAATTTGGGAATGGCTGGACACCAGTTCTCAGTGCCTGGGGAATGAAGGTTTCTCACTGCATCTTGGACCAGCCCTTCCAGTGACTTGAAGATGACCTGGCAAGTCGCTGGGGCTTTTTTGTTGGGATACTGGCAGGGCTAGAAAACTTTTGCTGCTCTGCTCACAGAGCTACAAACCTTAACTGGCCTGCAAAAGCAGACAGCGTGGGTGAAGGTGCTGTTCCTGATACAGGCAGCCCTATGATTTTAGAAACTGCTACTTGACCCCGACTAACGGTCAAGAGCATTCTCTGGAGTGCATAGAAGAAACAGCACTTTTCTTCATTTCACCATTTTACCAGCTGGTGTTATGGTCTCTCCCTGGGAAGGGCAGAGTGTTCCCAGAGGACTGGCATATCTGCCATACCTCCTGAAGGAGAGTTCTGGACAAGTGATGGTGGCAAGCTCTAATATAGGAAACATCGGAGTGATGCTTTAACAGCAAGAGTGAAAAGAAGACAAGAGGCTCCCTATAAAATGCCTGTGAAGTTGTCCAGTGGGGGCCAGGTTATTCTGTCTGAGTACAAAGGTAGTATTTCACTATTCCAATTCCCTGTCTGCTGGTTCCCCAGGTCCCATGAGAAGCCACAAGCAGGCTGAACACCTGAACCGATTCTGCTTCAAGGAGCAAGGGGAGAAGAAGGGCTTTGTAAGGTGTGCACCCTTTGGGCTCAAACCTGCTGAGGTCAGGCGAAATTACACCCATGGCAGGAAAACTGAATATTAATTTGCTTCAGAGGGTGTATCTTGTACAATTATTTCCTTACAGAAGCTCTGGCCTTATTTGACACTCTGCTGTGTGTACCAGTTAACCTAAGGTTTGCTCTTGATGGAGCATACTTGCTTGTATAAAATCCTTTCTGCTCTAAATGGCTAATTTCACAAAGGAAACCTTTTTAAGCATTAATAACATTTCTTAAGATAGCTTAATGAATGAAGAAAGAG